ATCAAGTAAAAACGAGATTTTCAGGTAATTTTTCATTTTTTCCTCGATAACCATTTAGTGAATTTGAATAACCTCACGCTAAAGTGATTCTCCAGAGTTCAAGTTACTTATTATAAAAGTTTGAAATTTCTGGTAGGTTTTTTCCTGTTAATAATACTAAAATTTAATTTGTTCGGTTAACGAATCTCCATAAAATGACGTGTAAAATTACAATTTTTTAAAATTTTAATAACTTTATAACGGTTTAGTGAATCGATTTGTAATTTTTAAAGGAGTTTTAGAATTGAATGAGGAACGTTATTCCAAATTTTTATTTGTCTCGTAGCATTTTGACATACCTCCCAAACATCCTTAAAGTCTTAATTTATGTTTGTTTCTTCCTGTAGGTCTAGCGGCTTTCTTAATCACAAAATTTAATAGATTCTATTGGGATAAACTCATACCTGACTCATTCCAAGCTCCTTCAATTTGATAGGCGGATGTTGCAACACCAAACAGGAAATCAGAAGAAAAAGTATAATTTGAAGCACATTCTCTGCTAAAATTAAATATCGTGTATAAAAATTATTTGTCGCTGAATTAATACTCACTTACTATGCAATCAAACCAATTAAAGTTATTATCCTTAAAAACATAACATTGTCGTTAGCTCCCATTCTGAATTGTACGAAGAAATAACGTACACTTAAAGGAACTGTTATGTACTTAGGAACACACAAACACTTATATAATGCTTAGTTGCCCGTAATTTCGGAGGTCTGAATAAATCCGAATCCAGAAATAGTAATAATATGTACACTTATTGTTAGTATTCAAGAGTGTTCTGATTAGATTAACTATATTAATTTTTTATAATGATTTACGTTATAAATTCACAATAAAATAATAAAAACAGATAATAGTATTATTTTTTTTGATTTAACAACGTTGCGTCCATCTGCACTATTAAGAGAAGTAATGAAATAAACGCATTATAATCCAATAATGCAATAATCCTTTTAATATCCTTTTATTATTGACGAAACACTTTCTTTTTCGCAACCTTTTTTGTTGCTTCTTCAGGTGATTTCTTCAGAAAACCATTTAGACAAAAGTTACATAAGCTTCCGAGGGATGTCGAATGATGATCTTGAATTTGAGTTTAGAACAACTTCCAAATTTATTAACTCACAATCAGTTCTTTAAGTACATATTCCTATTTCTGACTTCGAATAATAAGTGCGCTTAAAATTCTACGTCCGGCTATAGCGTCTTTACTTTTATGATAAGTGCGAATATTAAAGATCATTTTTAAGTAATTCCGAGGTCAAAATGCCTAAATAGTGGAGTTTTTCTTTTTTTTCAATTTGGAGTTTAGGGTAGAGGATGAATATTCCCACTATTCTGACAATTTATAAGCTTCTTGACTTTAGAATGACTTTGACTCTTACCCTCCGTATTAAACCGTAAGTTTAAGGATTGATTTAAATATTGGAAATTATTTGAATTAACACTCAATAGCGGTAAATAACCAGAAAAACACGGACGCATACAAAAAAGCGTTGTCAAGCTACTTAGGAAGGTCAAACCTTAAATCACACATTAAATGAATACAAAAAATTAAAACAATCGTATCGATTTTGCTGATCATTACTTACAAGCAAATAATCATTATCTAGACCTGGATATTTTTAAAATAATAAATAATAACGATAAAGATATAATACGTATCTTTTCAACAGTTACTACCTAAAATTAAACAAAGAAACCAAAAATGTAAACATATACACGGTGTTCTATTTAAAATAACGAAGTTAGGTAGCGTCCAGAAGAAATGGACTGGAATATTTTCTGTAAATATACCATATAGTAGTAGTAAAGTACAATAACAGAATTACGGACGAAACCCAATTAGGTGGAACACCCTCTATAATAACTAGCTGTAACTCGTGAAAATTTGGATGGCATCATTGTCAGTGATGTATAACTCATGAAATCATTCCTATTATAACCTAACCTAACCTAAGGATTCGCATTTTATTTTTTCATTTGCATTATTTAGGATAAAACGAATTTTCCCTTTAATAAAATCTGTTATAGCGAATTCTTACGACAATGAAATGTTTACTATTAATTGGCGAACAAGTGATAACGAAAGAAAAGAAATGTAAAATTAATAACTACCTACGGAAAGTGAACCTAATTAAGGGCTTTATTATCATTGTTTTATCTTTAAAACATCTATCAAGGTTTTTATCATTCTAGTGAAATTCTGCTGAGTTGCTGATAGTGATTGTTTATCTGATTTCTGTTAACATTGAGTAATTAAGAAAACCGTTTTAACCTTTGCCGATGAACAAATACACTCAACGAAAAAGGTATATAATAATAGCAAAAAAAAAGTTTGCTGAGTTGATAAATTGAATAATAGAAATTTGTGCTAATGAACAGCCATTCGTAAACTCATTATTCAAAATAATGAATTAATGTACAATGTTCATGAAACCCGAAAAATAATATTAATAAATCACTGCAAATAGCATAGCGAACGTCATCTGTAGAAGATTGTTACATTACTGCTACATTACTGAGGTGCTTTTATTCAAAACTAATTTGATTGAGTGTAGGAAAGGAAGCGTTGGGCGGAAAGGGCAATGAAATAGGAATCGAAGACCATCTAGGATGAGTTGGGTGGACACAAGCGCTAAAAAAGCGAAACTAGGAATGAGCAAAAGGGAAGCAGCTCAGGGCAGACGGTGGCAGGGCCTTCTGAAAAGGTCGTTTGGTTTAGGGCCGAAATAGGAGTGTCGAAATCGATGGGGTTGGTTGCAGCCTAGGAGAGTGAAGGTAGACCAGTTGCTTTCAGAATAAACCAGGGGTAGTTAAGTGCGGAACGAAAAATTCAAAAATCCGCATTAACTGCCTTGAAGAAAATATAGGCGGTGGGAATCGGTACAGCGTAGGAGCAAATGCTTCTAATAATTGAGTTGAACGTACGAATTTTTGTTTGATATGAGATGAAGCTGTTTCAGAAAAAGGGGTTGAGGGAGATAAAGGCGACTAGAGGCTTAGCACGGGTGGCAAGGATGTGTTTTCGTCATGTTAGTATTCTATCGAAGACGACGCCGAGGTAAGTAACGGAGTTGCTCCATTTGATGGGGTAGGTTGGTGGGAGGTTTTCTTACTTGACCTCGTTGATGAAGAGTTTCCATCTTCGGTACCAATTTAGGAGAAGGGGCAAAAACTTGTTAATTTTCGCGGAGCACTGGAAAAAAAAAACTTTAGGGTGTTTCATTCCCACCAGCCAGTAATGCTGGTGGGCGGGCAGTCCCTCCGGACTATGCCGGAAGGTAGGGCGGAAGGCCCTCTTTAGCCTGCTTTCAGGAATCGTGGGTGGTGGTTCGGGTGAGAAAGATGAGACGGACGAAATGAAGACAGAAGAGAGTAAACGATTATCTGTGGAATATTACTGCCTCAGCATTTGCCTAAGTGATCCAAGGAAACCACAGAAAAACTTGGACCAAGGCAGACGGACCCGGAATCGAACCGGCGTCCTCCCGAATNTAAAACTAGGAGGAAAACACCAAGGGTGTGGCTAGAACTACCATTGGTGATTAACCCTTTCAAAACAATTTGGTTCAAACTTAGAAGGCGGGCTTTCAACTTAAATTTTGGAAAGAGGGAAGTTTACAATCTGAGAAAAGATCGGCACATCAAGAAATCAACAAACGGTACTTTTAACCGTTAGGCTCATAAAAAAACACCCTATAATAAAATTGAAACTAAATTGGGATCGTAAAGGATCCTTCTTCAACCGTTATCTCTATAAACTAATTTAAACGTTGTACCGATGCATCTAAGGGTCTACTACCAAATAAACACCATACCGCCTTGTAAATTTGCAAAGTATTCTAAAAACTGCATGCAGGCACTTTATGGCCTGCATCAAAAAGGAACGGCCTTGACTCTGAACACATACGATGCATTATTTGCGTGGTATTCAACATATGTTACATTTTTATAACCAATTGTGTGATTTTTGAAGGTGTGGGAAAAGGATTGGTATGAAAAAAAAAATACAATCACCATTTGTAAATTTCATCAAACTTTTTGATAGTTTCTATTCTCATCATGAATCTTTATTAGTGAAAACAAATAACAGAAAACTTTTCAGTATAACTTTAGTTGTTATTTGGGAGTGGAGGGTAGTCTCCAACTACCCTGTTGGCGATGACTTCTTTGTAAAATTTGGCTGACAATTTTGCTGTTCTTGGACGATTTGGGTCACTCATATTAACCTGATAAAGTCCAAGTCGATTGCTAACAAAAGTTAATATTAGTTTCCTTATTAAGGGAGAATGATAGAATAGTATTTACCTATATCCACGTACCCACGAGAAGTTGTCCATTAGAGTCCAAACTGAATAACTTCGTATGTTCACCTTATCTTCGTTGATAGCTTGCAGAAGTGCTTCAAGATATAGCTACGAAACATATTTAAATTTTTAAGCAACTAGTTACATGCGATTTGTATCATTTGAGTATAATTTACCCCGATAAAAGTCACTCTAACATTATCTTCTAATCCTCCACTATCTGGAGAACCATTTTCTGTAATATGAACTTCAGGGTTGTTGTATGTATTTTTAATCCATACTAAAACCTCTCGGAAACCCCATGGAACAATCTAAAAGGTAGGCTTTTAAAGCAGAACATTTAATTAGTACAAAGGTGTGAGACCTACTGCGAATCGGTTAAGTGGATCCTTTGGCCAACTAGGATCAAACGACAATTCCGCTTCCATATCATTAGTGTAGGAAGTTACTCCTTTAACTGGTGCTGAATATTTCGACAATTTGGTAGTGTAATGATTCGCTCCAAAGAAATCGGACGTTCCCTTAATATATTTAATTTCATCCGGAGTGAATTCGGGAAGTCTGGATTTAGAGAAGCCTTCTTCCGCACTTTTCTTAGCAACTAGGTCTCTCATTACTTTTGGATAATCACCGTCTTTACCGAAAATAGGATTCGCGAACAAACCTATCTAATGAGATAAAGGAAAAGAAATTTTATAGAAAATTTTAAAGGTACCTACATATGTTACGTATGACAGTAAGAAAGATGTCGATCTCCACTCTCACTGGTTGGAATCGACATTTTTCAAATCCACCGGTTAGAGCAAGGACTTTTTGACTTGACGGAATACATTTTCTATTATTTCTTATATTACAAAAGTGTAATCTAATGAGAATAAATGAACAAATCGTAGTTAAAACAAAGTTCACTCGAAGAAGATTAAGTCGTTTTTAGAGGTACATGCAAAGCTTAACTCAAAATAAATTTGCAATAATAAGAAATCAATAAATTTTTATCAGAATATTTTTAAGTGAAGATTGAATTTGAACCTCCCTTGTAATATTTTCGTTTTTAACTAACAATAAGTGCAAACAGGTAGTTTAGAGACGGAATTGACTAGGTAAAGTGTCGTATAGAGTATAGAGTAATTTTAAACTACAAATATACAAATATACGCTTGTCTATGATTTTACATACTTTAAACTGCTTGGATCTTTCAGCAGCTTCTATGTCCTGAGCGCTGGAGCTGCCGGCGGTATGCCCTTCAGCCACGAAAACGATGCCCATTTTAGCTTAAAAATTTTTTAAACATTTTATATGTATATAAATAAGATATTTTTTTATCATTTCTTCCCCAATAATTGTATAAAGTAAGAAATCAAGCCTAAAGATGCCTTATAATTTAGGCGAAACGTGGGTTGTTGGTCTCATTNAAAACAACACAAAGTATAGATAAAACAATAAATATTATTAATAATTAAAAGCCACATGGTAACAAGAACGACGGACACAGTAATGAACTCTGAAGATGCCCCACAATTGAGGCGAAACATAGGTTGTTGGAGTCATACAAATAAAAACCTATGCCACATACGTAGCTTAATTATTTACTTTATAAATAAGATATTTGTTGTATGGACTCATAAGTTTTGACTGACTTTTTGGATATATTTTTAAATTTCCGATTGTGGTAAAAAAATATTTGGAAACCTATACAAAGTGGTGTTCACTTATCAACCTACACAATTCTAGATGTACAAAAGTTTTTTAAACAGAGAAGAAATTTATATTTTTCTTAACTTGAAGATTCTCAAAGGATTATTCAGAAAATTTATTTTGTCAAATCAGGTCTGTTTAAGCAATACCGAATGATCTTCGGTTTAAACAAGCTTTAAAACTGATTACAATTTCTCAATACTTCAGAAACGTTTGAAAGATGATAGAGAATTTTTATTAGATTTTGACGATATCGATAAAATCAATAATATATTATCTGACCCTGAAATCAATTCAGTAAAGTAATACAGAAATAAGCAAAATCATATATTCAACAACTGCTCTATATTCAGAAATATCAGAATTAAATTTAAACGAAAGAAATTCTTTGTATAATATTCCAGATTACATTTTATCAAATTAAGTAAAAACTGAAGTAAGGAATTGTTTGTTGAATTGGTGACTTTGAAATGCTTATTTTATGCGAATGGAGAAATATTTCACCTTTTTATTCAAATAGAACGAATATTCATAACAACCTTTAAGATATTATTGACATTGAGTTGTAATTTAGAAACAATATTGGTTAAATTAATTATGAAAAAAATTGCTTTTCCCATGTAAAAACCTGCCATAAATTAGGTGCAGTTTTAGTGAACCGACTCGTGAGATTTTGATTAAATATTTCCTCAAAGAAATCTAATGAAAAGTCTTCTTTAGGTAACAAAACTCAACAAGCACATGCTATATGAGTAACTTAAGTTATTTTTTTTATTTTTGTAGTTATTCTTTAATAAACAACTTTTAAGTAGTAAATGCCTTATTATGGTTACGTTAAAGGATAAACATGGCCGCTTCTAGCCGTATGGCCAGGATCTTGCTATTAAGTAGACTCGCATCGTTACTATTCTAACAGTTATCTTCCATGATAAGAAAGCAAATTGCTTATTTCGTCAACAATAACAATTAGTAGACGTTTGATATTATTTTCAACTTGTATTTAAACGTTGAATGGCTATGAGAGATTTTAATTAATATGAATAGAAAGAAGTTCAGATCAAACCGTGGGGAGTGGATTTATTAATCGATTGAAAATATACTCACCATTATTTTTGCTCCTGTAAGTATTATTAAAAAGATGATAAACTGCAGCATGAGATTTTATCAGGTTGTGAGCACATTGATAATCAGCTATGCCTGACTGGTTTACGCGTGGAGCGAACAGAGGACCTCCATAACCTTCAGTGCAAATTAGAAAAGGTTCATTGAATGTGACCCAATATTTAACGCGATCAGAATAATTATCCAAAAGAATTCTTGCATATTCTGTGTATAATTCCACAATAGACGAATTTGTCCAACCACCAAATTCTTGGAGACGCTCAGGAAGATCCCAATGGTATATGGTTAACACGGGTACTATGTTTTCAGCGAGAAGAGCGTCAATAAGATTGCTGTAGTATGCGAGCCCTTCTTGATTGGGATTGTGCGGAAAACCGTCTGGATATATCCGGGACCATGAAACGGAAAATCTATACAGACCTGCCCCTAGTTCTTTAAGCAGCCTAACATCTTCTTTATATTTGTGATAGGAGTCGCAGGCAATGTCTGCATTATTTAAGTCTCTAATGGATCTTGGATCGTTATGGATCTGGTAATCCCAGATGCTTTCTCCTCTTCCTGGTAACAACAAATCAATTCTATGATTTCAAATCTTATTGAAAATTACACCATACTGCACTGGTTTAAGACCTTAATTTATTTTTAAATACAGATATATAGGTTCTTACCTGATTCATTCCATGCTCCTTCTATTTGGTAGGCGGATGTTGAAGCACCAAATAGGAAATCAGAAGAAAAGGAGTAGTTTGAAGCACATTCTCTACTAAAATTAAATGTCGTATATAAAAAATAATTTTCCACAAAATTAATTAATACAGATAATGTCTTGATTATGGAAAAAAAATTAGTAGGTAAATCTACTAGTACTTACTATGCAATCAAACCAATTAAAGTAATCAGCCTTAAAAACATAGCATTGCCATTAGCCCCCATGCTGGATGAAACTAAAGAATAACGTATACTTCAAGCGGTTTATATATACTCATTGTCAGATTAGATTAATTTTATATATTTTTTGTATTTCATTCAATGATGCTCATTGCTTAATTGAACTTCCCATGTCTCATTCTGTTGTTGCATAAACCACGCTTTTAGAATCATAATGTCGGTGATTTGCAGAGGATACTTATCGGTGAAAACAAGATTATATATTTTTTGATGTACTACACGTATTGTGTGGGTATTTTCCGACTTGTTCCATATCGATAAAATTATGGTTGCCAGGCCGTTTACAAATGTTTGTCCATATATTAACTATGTGAGTGGTTTTGTCAGGTAGCAGTAGGTAGTAGCATTTAACACAGCGGCACCGTCATAGCGGTTTTAGAGATAGTCGTATTAGAGATAAATATTTAAAACCTTACATCAGTAAGGGCTGTTAATTTCGTATCGAACGGTAACATTCAATAACGGTCTTGTAAGATTGTCAAAAGTAGGTTTCGATATTTGCGGCTCTGAATAACGTACACATTTTGCCTTTTAACTTTTATGTTTTCTTGAAGTGAAACTTATTTACGCACGGTAGGGTAAGTTTGTTTCATGCGAATTGCTATGTAACGAAATCATGCAACGGATGTCCCCCCTCTACTCGGCCACGTAGTCAAGTTCGTAGTAGGGATCGCTTGAGTCGTGAGCGCGCTTCAATGCAACGTTCGTTACAGGCAACTCCGGCATCTATAGTGTAAAATTTAAATTCATAGTGTACAAATAATACCATTAAACCAATTCCTCAACCCCTATCCCGGTATGTTTGTGTGTTTGAAGAAGTTTCACTTCAGTAGCGTGTTGTATAATTACACGTTGTATTTTTTATGCTATTTGGTTTCATTCAAGCAGCTGAAATGGAGTTTCTCTTCAAAAACAGTTGAATATCTCAAAAAGTACTAGAGATAGGTATAGGAAACAGTTAACAAAGTCGACCTAAAATTAAACAAAGAAACCAAAAATGTAAACATATACACGGTGTTCTATTTAAAATAACGAAGTTAGGTAGCGTCCAGAAGAAATGGACTGGAATATTTTCTGTAAATATACCATATAGTAGTAGTAAAGTACAATAACAGAATTACGGACGAAACCCAATTAGGTGGAACACCCTCTATAATAACTAGCTGTAACTCGTGAAAATTTGGATGGCATCATTGTCAGTGATGTATAACTCATGAAATCATTCCTATTATAACCTAACCTAACCTAAGGATTCGCATTTTATTTTTTCATTTGCATTATTTAGGATAAAACGAATTTTCCCTTTAATAAAATCTGTTATAGCGAATTCTTACGACAATGAAATGTTTACTATTAATTGGCGAACAAGTGATAACGAAAGAAAAGAAATGTAAAATTAATAACTACCTACGGAAAGTGAACCTAATTAAGGGCTTTATTATCATTGTTTTATCTTTAAAACATCTATCAAGGTTTTTATCATTCTAGTGAAATTCTGCTGAGTTGCTGATAGTGATTGTTTATCTGATTTCTGTTAACATTGAGTAATTAAGAAAACCGTTTTAACCTTTGCCGATGAACAAATACACTCAACGAAAAAGGTATATAATAATAGCAAAAAAAAAGTTTGCTGAGTTGATAAATTGAATAATAGAAATTTGTGCTAATGAACAGCCATTCGTAAACTCATTATTCAAAATAATGAATTAATGTACAATGTTCATGAAACCCGAAAAATAATATTAATAAATCACTGCAAATAGCATAGCGAACGTCATCTGTAGAAGATTGTTACATTACTGCTACATTACTGAGGTGCTTTTATTCAAAACTAATTTGATTGAGTGTAGGAAAGGAAGCGTTGGGCGGAAAGGGCAATGAAATAGGAATCGAAGACCATCTAGGATGAGTTGGGTGGACACAAGCGCTAAAAAAGCGAAACTAGGAATGAGCAAAAGGGAAGCAGCTCAGGGCAGACGGTGGCAGGGCCTTCTGAAAAGGTCGTTTGGTTTAGGGCCGAAATAGGAGTGTCGAAATCGATGGGGTTGGTTGCAGCCTAGGAGAGTGAAGGTAGACCAGTTGCTTTCAGAATAAACCAGGGGTAGTTAAGTGCGGAACGAAAAATTCAAAAATCCGCATTAACTGCCTTGAAGAAAATATAGGCGGTGGGAATCGGTACAGCGTAGGAGCAAATGCTTCTAATAATTGAGTTGAACGTACGAATTTTTGTTTGATATGAGATGAAGCTGTTTCAGAAAAAGGGGTTGAGGGAGATAAAGGCGACTAGAGGCTTAGCACGGGTGGCAAGGATGTGTTTTCGTCATGTTAGTATTCTATCGAAGACGACGCCGAGGTAAGTAACGGAGTTGCTCCATTTGATGGGGTAGGTTGGTGGGAGGTTTTCTTACTTGACCTCGTTGATGAAGAGTTTCCATCTTCGGTACCAATTTAGGAGAAGGGGCAAAAACTTGTTAATTTTCGCGGAGCACTGGAAAAAAAAAACTTTAGGGTGTTTCATTCCCACCAGCCAGTAATGCTGGTGGGCGGGCAGTCCCTCCGGACTATGCCGGAAGGTAGGGCGGAAGGCCCTCTTTAGCCTGCTTTCAGGAATCGTGGGTGGTGGTTCGGGTGAGAAAGATGAGACGGACGAAATGAAGACAGAAGAGAGTAAACGATTATCTGTGGAATATTACTGCCTCAGCATTTGCCTAAGTGATCCAAGGAAACCACAGAAAAACTTGGACCAAGGCAGACGGACCCGGAATCGAACCGGCGTCTTCCCGAATACTAAACAATGGTCTAGACCGCTAGGCCATGCCGCTCGGTGGAGCACTGGATAATGGTTTGGGCGATGTTTATGAGAGTCATAACATCGGCGTAAAGAGACGGCATGTATGTGCAGAAAAGGCTGAACAGAAGAGGTAACAGCTTGGAGCCTTGGGTGAGAGCAGCTGTGATGGGTTTGCTAGGTGATAAAGCAAAGCCAACTCTGACATGAAGGGTAGGAGAGTAAGGAACGGATAACTCCGATTACCGATTGGGAAATGTGGGGTGTTGAGGGCGATAAATTTGGAGATGAGACCTTCGTGTCAAACTCGATCGAAAGCTTGCTGGAAGTCAAGCAGAAGCATGTAAGTAGGTATGACGGCGCCTGTTTAGGTTATCAGAAAAGTGTTCGGAAACGCAGAGAAGTTGATGGCTGGTGTCGTGCTGACTGCGGAAACCATGTTAACTGTCAGGGAGAAAGTTTCGCTTCAGACGGTTAAGAAGGCGGTCCAAAAGGACGGATTCAGCTACTTTCAGAGTAGGGTAATGGGCCTGTAGTTTGAGGCTGTAAGGCTTCCTTATTTTGGGGAGACAGATGACGGAGGCTTCTTTCCAAACCAGAGAGAAGTGATGGAGCCGCATGATAGCGTTTGTGATGTTGCAGAGTGGGATTATGTTTTAGGTTAGGTTTTCATGGCAGGACTTTTAGGACAGCGTTGGGAATTTCAGAGGTCGAATGCATTTGAAAGATGATGTTTCGGTAGTATAGCGGAGACGTTTGATTGAGGGGATTGAGGGTTTGGCGGCCGACTTCTGTTAGGGCTGTAAGGTAAGGACGGAAAGAGTGGCATTGTTTAAGACGAAGATGTCAAGAAGTTGATTGTGATTTGGAGGCGCTTAAACGGTGACGTTGAGGTCGAGAATTTTGACAAGAAAGGAAATGCCTTTCCTGTTAGTTTGTCGGCAGCCCTAGAAGACGTGCTTGGCATTGAGGTCGCAGACTCCACGGAGGACAATATGGAGGTCTCTGTCTTGCTGAAGTTGGTTTGTTAAGAACTCAGCCTTGAATTCGCTTATTAGAAGTGAAAAATACATGCATCATAGTAACTTTAAAATCACTTTATTTTAAAAATCAACATAATATCTAACATCTAAATAACTCTGCCTATTGTACATTAAAAAAAAAGGAAAATAAAATCTACGTTATGAAGATTTGACTTTTTTCATAAAAACTTTATAATGTTAATTTGACGACGAACCCTTGATAAATTTGACTAAATGCATTTTACTTTTTCGTAAATTGTATCTTTGACTTTTATTTTTTTACTGTGTAGGATCAATACTGTAGAAGGCTAGCATAACAAATTGAATAAGAAAATTGGGAAGGCTCATTCCAATATGTATAAATTAATGAAGGTATTAAAGGGAAGATTTACTAATTATAAACTTGTAATAAAACTGATTATTAAGGTACCTTAACATAATTATATCTAATTACTAAAACTGATGACGCACGAAACAAGAACATTTTCTACTAACGCACGATAAAGATATAATACGTATCTTTTCATCAGTTACTAAAAAAAGACTGTTTGATTTATTAATAGGAGTTATTTAATCACACGTGTAATATAAGATTATTATGACACAATCAGCATACCGTCTCGACTAGAAATTTCTTAGAAAAATAACGCACTTTCGTAATTAACTAGGAGTGCCTGAAGTAGGGATCTAATCAGAACCAAATTAGGACCGGAATCAGCCCGATTAGAAAATTATTTTACCTAATAACTGATGCTTAGAAATATGATTGGGATTTAGGGCCTGAAAAAGCCGAACTTTAGTGAAAATCGAAATTAAGGTCTTGATTGGATGATATGAGGTAAATTTTTGGAGTTCTTCATTTGAGCCATATAATAATAATATTATTGTTCTATTGGCTGAAGGAAAGAGCGAATATAAAGATAAGAGACCAAAAATTAGAAGAAGTGGCTGATTTTAGATATCTAGGAAGTCAGATGAGTCAGGACGGAAGGAGTAGTAGGGATATAAAGCAGAGTTTAGAAATTCGAAAAAGGTTGTTAAAGGTATATGTTTGGAGCACGGCGTTGTATGGGTGCGAAACATGGACAGTGGGCGCGGCGGAAAAGAAAAGGTTAGAAACGTTCGAAATGTGGTGTTATAGGCGAATGACGAGGAGACCGTGGAAAGAGAAAGTTAGAAATGAAGAGGTATTAGAAAGAATAGGAGAGCAGAGGACTGTATGGAAGTCAATAAGAAATAGGCGAGATAGGTTAGTAGGACACCTTCTCAGACATGAAGGTTTAGTCAAAGGCATATTAGAGGCAGAAACAGGAGTTAGGAGGGGTAGTGGTAGACCTAGATTAGATTACTGTTCGCAAATAGTTAAGGATGTGGATGGTTCTAGTTTTAGGGAAATGTGAAGTTTAGCTCAGGATAGAAAAGAGTGAAGGTACGTGTTCAACCAGTCTTAGGACTGACGACCTTATGATGATGATGATTGCCTGAGGCATTTCAAAATCTTACCTCAACTAGGGATAGCCTCTAATTTTTCGAATAATAATCTAATTCATATTAGTTCAGGCTCGTGCCCTATTTCGATTATCCTTATGAAGATCTAAACAGATAACCGTCTGCTTATCCTAAATTTTGAAACACCGTATCTAATTCGCTTTAGGGTGTGCCTGACTGTAAACCAAGAAAATTTCCAGTCGGTTTTATTTATGTGAATGTATTTTCAATCAATTCAGGAGTTACTTTGTAAAGATGGAATGATATTACATAAACGCCTGAAATATAGATGTGAAGTATTTTTCAGAATAATCCTTGGCTCGTTCAATTAGTGTTATCGTTGTATTTTGATTAATGACATGCTGATATATAATTGTTTACACGTGCGTTATTAATAATCAATAACATATCTCACACACTTCAAATAACGATAGCGCCATTAATTAAAATGCTAGTTCATGGGAGATACAATTTATTGAGTGCATCTACGTGAAATAAATCCTAAGCATGTACAAGTAACTACTTCTTTTATGGCAACAAAAGAATTAAATATTTATCTATCATCCAAAGTTTAAGTTATATTATAAAATGTCTGATAATATTTACAAATAAACGCTAAGGTAGGTCGAATAAGCTTAGTGTGGGTAATGTAATTTAGATATTCACAATGCGAATGGGACCACACCGTTTGTCTTAGTAAAAATAGTAAAGTCAGTAGGTACGTGCCTTCACAAATGCTTAATTTGTTTTAGAGATTGTTTAATAGCTTATTAACCCATCCTTAATTGTAAGTTACCCGACTGACAATAAGCATCCCTTTGGATTTATAAACTAAAAAAGGTTTACATCCATGTTTCTCTCACAGTGGGCAATTCGAAAATAGACTCGAATATAAAGTATTATCCTAACAAGATCTCGTCGACTTGCAAACGATAAGTCCATTAAAATTTCAATTAATATAGAAGGAGTCATGACATGATTTTGTGAGAAAATGGAAGCAATATATCCAGATTCAACTATCCACCGTCGCTTCGTCCGCGTGAGTATAGTGATAAATATTTATTTTGGTGTTTTGATACCGTTTATGAACTGTGATTTTAATGGTAGCAATACACAGGGTGGCCCCAAAAATACGCAATACACTCATTTAGGACAAGATTTCCTTTAAATGGCAAACGTAAAAAAACGCAGCGATATTCAATTATTTTTGATTAGGTTTGAATATTAATATTTTGGCATTCTAAACAACTTTTTCCTATAACTTTTTTCGTTTGGAACCATATTTCACATGGCTGCTATTTAAACGAATCCTTATTTTTTTTATTTTCGAAGGTTTTATTATAGTAAATCAAATTTATATAACGATCTTGCATTAAAATAGGGAACAAGTTTTGTTATAGTTGCGATTGGACCGCAATGAGCTAACCGCGTACTTTCTGGGCCACCCTGTATATGGTAAACACTTAATGTCGCTTTGAACTTCATACGTCATTCGTATTAGAATTTCTGTATCTTTCAAGTGATACTTCACTCGACTGTAGCGCTTACTCGTGGCCGCTTAAAAACCCATGATTCTAAGAAAAAATTGACAGATTTACGTCATTCTAAGAATTTTGGTATCTATCAAATGACACCCCACTCGATTATACTTTGATAGCTGTTACCAGTCGTAGCTTCTGCACTAAGTATAATTTCATTATGTATTGAATAACCCTCACTCGACTATATTAAATTTTTGTGTCTTTTTTCAATTCTATAGAAAGTGATTTTCGCAAATTTGTATACCCATGTATAGAAATGTAAATGTAATTATAAATAATTTATAAAATTAAAGTAGGTATTATATAAAAATTTTTCAACAAAAGATCTAAAAGGCGCATGACATAAACATTGCTCTACATGCTATTCCTGAGTCTTTCTGTTTTTCAGACTTTTGAGTTTTTAAAGAGCATTCTGTCGCTTGGTTTTAATCGTGAATTGCTCTGCGTTTTTAATTTTTCGGTGAATTGTCTGTTACCAGACAAAACAGAAGTTCTAGTAGTAATATTTAACAAGAAACTAAAAACTTTAGATATTCTATATGCAAATCTGGCTGCCAGTTGTTTTTGTCCAAAATTAAAACCTATTATCATGCAAATTACATTTTTTAAATCAATAAAGTTTTATATTTTATCGTCATGATTACCTTGTTTTTTTCTTTAAAACGACAAACATTCGTTAACTTTTAAAATGTTTGAGGCGATATTATAAGACAATATTTATATTCTTATTATATTATCGACTTTTAATTTTTCTCTTAATATTTATTAATCGAGAAAATAAATCGTAAAAGAGTTTTCTTTACAAATTGCTTACAGAATGCGATGGTGGATTCAGATTTTATTAATTACTCAATAAATGATTATTGGGTAATAAAAAAACACCTTCAACGTAGACTAAATGTGGCGAAAGCATAAAATAAAGAAACAAAAAAAAATTATTATAACAAAACCAGTGCCAACGTTTCGCCACTGATTTATGTTTTACTCGATATAAACGTATACTTTATATATACGAGGGGCATTCAAATATAAACGAGCTTTTCAGTTTTGGGGAGTCTGTCGGTGGTAAGCGGAGCGTCGAGAAGTATAGGGCGGGAGATCCCACAATTGGACAATAAATAAGCAAATACTGTTGACGCTGTATCACTAATTGCCTACAGACGATAATGCCAAAATTACTCACCGTGTTCAACCAAACTACAGGCTTTTGTTGAGTCACTTCTTCTCTGCAACAAATTAAAGTAATACCATATGAAACAAAGCAATAAAAAGGATTTTAACTTTATCATTTGCAAACAAACTTATATAACTATTGTGAATATTCATTACACGTACAACGTACGTACCTATATATCTTCAGAAACAATAAATTATTATTTGTAATAGAAAACAAAGATTGTGAGGTATAATTTTTATTGATTAATACAAACTCTCAAAGTTTTACACAATTAAAATACTTAATGATAACTGAAATGCAAAAAAGTTAGATAGAAATTAGTTTTATGTGATCGATTTCACGTCTTAACTACTCAATCTATCATATCGAAATTTTGTAGACACACTGTTAGGGATACCGAAAAGGACATAGGGTACCTTTTATCCAGAAAAAAGAAAATACTATTCCCGAGGGATAGAAAAAATTAGTTTTGTGCAGTCGTTGACGATATTTGACACGCATTAGGTCATCAACGCGAGCGAAGCCGCGGGTAAAATCTGGCATACGATAAGTATCAAATAATTATTTGCAAATAAATTGTTTTTAAAACTGCTCGCGAATTTTTAACCTTGCTATCTTATAATAGTATAATCAATAAACAAAAATAAAAATTGAATTGTAAATTGTTTTTTGCTTTGATGCAGTCCTTTTTATATTCTTAGAGCCAGTGTAATGTAACTTATAGTTATTGTATAAAATGTTACAATAAATTGCGTTTATTTTCTGTAATGCGTGTCAGTTTTTGTTTTGTGTTTACGGAATAATGCGAAGAGAGTTGATTTTAATCAATACAAATTATTTTCTACTGCCCTTACTGCTCTAATTATTTATACCACACATTTTTGAGAGATATGGATATTGCACAATAAATTATTAATTACGAACCTATTAATAGCCGCCGCAACAAAAAATTTCATACATCTACGTACTTGACAAAATATGTATTTAATTGATACAATTACGATAATTAGTTATAGTTGTATTAGTTAACGTTAAACCAATTCGTTCAAATTTAAAACATCCATCTCTTTTAAAATAAGATGATATCTACGTTAAATCTATGTCTTTATTTAGCATTGTATTCTGCTTCAGTTTGTTTAAATAAATGCGTAACCAACTCGGTTTTTATAGGAGCTTATTAGGTTTGATCAAATGTGATGAAATAAGATCAAAACCGCAATCTGCGTCTGATATTAGTATTGGTAAATCTGTGATCAAGAAAGATAACCACTGTTTTGATCGTTTGATTGACCCAATTTGAATTTAACTTTTTGCAGACTACAGTACTATTTTAAATAGTTTGTGAAAAGTTTACAAGTTGCTATTGATTAAAACAAAGTGAATTACATATTAACTTTCATCAAGTAATTTCCAAGTACATTCTGCATTGTTTGTCAGCTCATGACCTAATGAATGTTGTAGGTCATTTTATTCTACGAGTGCCACTATCTCTGACTTTTTTATTCCAGTGTTATCGCGTTTGTGAAGATACGATGCAGGTGTCCTTTTCGAATGTTCCATTATTATAGTTGTTTTCGGAGATCATTATCTCTTAGAAAATAAATATTTTAGGATATGCTGTTTACTTGTTTACGAGTTTATACCTTTTTTATTCTAAACGTCACGGTAAAAAAAGAGAAAGTAAAAGCTACGTGACCGCTTCTTTCACATAAATGGGTACCTAATTTATGGAATATTCTTCTTTATTTGTTTTAAATTAAATTTTATTATAAATTATGTGTAACAAAAATTAACCAATTCAGTACCCATAATATGATTTTAATGTCTGTTATCTGTTACTACAGTTTTTGCTTTTTTTATCCAGGTATACCAATTTCTACACTAGTGGAGAGTTAAGAACCAAATATAGGGATATTCTATATTTATAATAATATTTTCTAGAATGATTTCATTGTTTTCGATCGCATTACCAATAAACTAGAAATGGACTGCGTAG